AGTACGACTAGCTCTTGTAATGATTAAACAGATCTCGCTTATTCTCTCCCATCCGTTCGGCAGCGACCCGATCCCGAAGGCATCCGGTTCCCTTTTTTTCCTTGGCGCTATTCGTTCGGTCTGCACCACCAACAAAGGCTCCCTGATTCGGGCATCACGTTAGGCATAATCTCCGGTCGTAATGCCCGAATCTGCATATTCCTAACGAACCGAACGTCTCCGCTTCCTTTTTTCTTCTGACCGGTCGTCCTCTAATTCCAACAGGCGCGTATCTTCAGTGACGGTTACCTTCTCCCAAAAGGGCGCGTCTCCCTTTTCGACGGTTTCCAGAGTAACTTCTATTTCACACGTGTCGCCTTTTTATTGGGAGCCCATGTATTAATGGCGTATGTGAATCGCTTCGTCTGACACGTTGTATCGTACCTTAATCATTGTGTCTCTTCATTCCCCTTTTAGATAGTATAAATATGTCTTCTCCCCTTTCAAAAAGTCCCACACTATTCTTCTCATTCAAAATTACTCTGACTTCTCCCTATTCTTCGAACCGATCGACCCGTGCATCCGTTCGACTTTCCCTTACATAGGTCTAATATCCGCTGGAAGGTAATTTTTTCTCTTCTTCTCCTTATTTCTCCTATCTGTTAGTCAATATGAGTGCCGAGGCTTCGTCTACGTCCAAAAGTTACAACGAGGAGCAATACGAGGAAGCCCTTCAAGGTGACACGACGGGCAGGATAAGACTCCCGCTTCAAATAGAGTGTCCGGATGAGGATCACCGGATAGAACAAGCCGTCGTGTCCGTTCCAAGCGGATACTGGCGTCGTCTATACCGCGAATGGTCGTCAACGAGTGTCTTCGGACTGGCTAACATCCCCAGCGACATGACGAACAATAAGGTGGTCAAGGTCCGAACATCCATCCGGCTCCCTCGTGACATCAAGATGTTTGCGCCCTACAGTCGGGAATGGGTTCACTGTCCGCCACCCGATTATATTGGCGTGTTCGAGCATTCGGTTGCTTTCGGGGTCCGTTTCTCGCTCCCTCGTATCCTAACCGAATACCTGAGAGACTGGGGGGTCGGTTTTAGCCAGGTTTCTCCGATCGCCTGGCTGAAAATCATTAGTCTGCTCGTATTGTTCAGTCAACAAGGTTGGGAGATGCCGACACCGGATGACATTCGCGCGCTGTTCCTAATGAAAAAGACGAGAAAGAAATCCGGACAGTTCTCTATATCCGTTCGGGATCCGAGATTTAGGGATCTCATCACCAAAGTCCCGGAGACGATCAGCAAATTCAAATCTTCGTGGTTTTAGGTCGGACGCGGCTGGCAGACACGGAAGTCTCCGAATGATCCGGGAGCTTCTGAATTTTTAACTGTTCCGACGAGATTCGTTGCAAAGATTTGTGAGTTTATGCTTTCTTTTTCTCGTTCATTTCTCCTAATTTTCGGTTATTTTTTGTCCGACCTAACAGGTCAAGTTCGTTGTTTCAGCCAACCCTTCGCTCGTCCCTGAGTTGAGAGAGTCGTTCGTTCTCCAGTTGACTGAGTTGTTGCAAAAGGGCGAGGACGAACGTGCCGGACCCAAATTGGTAGAGATTCTAATCTGTTCGAGGCCGGACTCTGTACGGGTGACGTCGAGATTTCGTGTGTTCCCAGTAAGTGCCTTTGTCCGTTTTTCCCTTTCTTTAACCGTTCGGTTGGGTGGTTGTATTGTCCGGTTTTTTCTTACTGTTCGGCTTCTTGCAGCTTTTTATCCTTTGGGTAATCTGAAAGGTGTGGCCACCGACACGGGAGCAAAGAGAACTACCGTGAAATTGAAGGGTAAGCATACCACTACCAGTTCCAAACCAGAATCGAGATCCCGAGAATCGACTGCCGAGATGGACCGTTTGGCGATGATTGAGAAGATGAGGGCCGCCCAAGCATCAGCATTGAAGGATCCGGCCCCTCAACAGGAGGTCGGTTATGAGGTTATCGAGTCTTCGAGTGAGGAGGACGATCAGCCGTTACAGAGGGGTCGCTTGGCGAGCCGAAAACGGGCTGCTGAAGTTGACGAGGCTCGTAAGGCTAAGCGCCCGGTCCAATCGGGGACTCAAGAGCAAGGTTCGACGGTCGGCCCCTTCACACCGGTTGTACCGAGCGGTTTAAGCCATTTAAGACTTTTTTTATGTATACAGGTTGGAGATTCGACCTTAAAAAAATAAAATAAACTGTCAAGTTTCAACTGAGTTTCTAGCTAGTATTCAATTTAGGACTTTGTTGTGTCAATTAATATTTAATTTCTAAGATAATAAAAACTATAATACATCCAACGATGATGGGTTATTTTGTAAATAAGTGGAAGTTCGGAGTTGCTTCCGTAATTATGCCTAACTTACATTTAAAACTTTCAGGTTCTCCTACGACGACCTATTATGGTTATGTTTGGTACAACTAGCTGTAAACTATTTGATAGCTGATAAGTTAGTTTATAACTTATTAGTAATTTTTGAGCTTATAGCTTATAACTTATGACTTATAGCTGAAAAGCTAGTTTATATAATAAAAGTGTTTGGTAAAATTAGCTAATAAACTAGTTGGAATAAACATTTCAACGAGCTTATCTAAAAAGCTACCCAAAGAAGCTTATCAAATAAGCTCGAACTTTTTAAAAAAGCTCGTCCGACCAAACGGTACTTATTTGAATATAAGGAACTTATAAGCTAACCAAACAAAATATAAGCTAGTTTATTTGTCTACCAAATATCGCCTATGTATGTTTAAAATCCAACAAATACATAGTAACTATGGGGAGTGGGAATAGGATTCTTCTGTTTCACTTGCTGAGTAATGATTATAGCTTACTGATTAGTTTAAATTAATCAGTGTCGATAATCTTTTATGTAAATCTGATTCATAGGTTAGTCTAATTTACTACTACTGGTTTTTCATATATATTGAATTGAGATATAATGGGCCCCAACCCGTACCCAGTGGAGACCCGACCCGCCCACAAACCCATGTACTTGGTTCGATTTCGATGGACTAATCTAATATTACAATAAAGAATGACACGTGACATTATCTGTTATAGATAATGCTTCCCTATCCACGGTGGGCACGTGTTAAAATGCACACCGCTTACGTGGCATCCACACATTGGTGATGGTAATATGTTCAAAAAAAATACATCACCAATGTGTGCATGACACATAAACGGTAGATATATTAACATGTGTCCACCGTGGATAGGGGAGCATTTCTCAATCTGTTCCCCTGTAGATCCGGAAACTCCCTATACCAAAGATGGAAACATAGGTTTGGTGGGCCAGCTGCCACCCAAGACCCAAGTGTTTCCCGTTCAAGTCATTCTGGGTGTGGGCTAAGCTCATTTTGTAATTACTTAATTGTTAGAAGATCCTTAAAATAAAATTAGATTTAGCCTGATTTTGATTGATTTTTTTATGGCTAAAATATTTAATTCGAGTTGAAATTAATTGTGTAAAAATGTTCTACCTTCCGAGTAGATACTAATTGATATGAGTCGACTGGACCGGAGAAGCATCCAAACCTAATTTTTTGTAAACTCAAAATGCACTACAACTGACTATATATATTCACTACAAGAAAATGATGAAATTCCAACGGAAATATATATCAAAAGAATTATTCCAACGGCAATTCTAACGGATATTTCAATACTATTATTTCCGTTGGAATTTTTCAATAGATTCCAACGGAAATATTCCGTTGGAATGAGTTTTCCATTGGAATTTCCGTTGGATTTTGACGATTCCAACAGTGGATTTTCCAAAGGGGGTGGAAAAGAAAATTCCAACGGAATTTGCATATTCCAAAGGGAAATTCCTACGGCAAAAAGCCGTTGAAAATATAGCCGTTGGAATCATCAAATTCCATTTAAAATTCCAATGAAAAACACATTCCAACGGAATATTTCCGTTGGAATTTCTGTTGGAACTATTCCAACGGAAGCTATTCCATTGGAATATCCGTTGGAATTTCTATTAGAATATATTACCATAGAATTTTCCGTTGGAATATAACATTTATTTTGTAGTGATTTATTTATTTATTTGTTTCTTAAAAAACCCTTTTTAACTAAAAAAACTAATTTTAAGCAGAATAATTTGTAAACAAGCAAGCCCAAAAATCAAATATTCGGGTATCCCTTTTTCTTTGTTAATTTTTCAAATTTACTTTTTTTTTTCATGTAATTTGGTCAAGACCTCATCTGTAGTCTCCGTGATTAGTTAATCCCTTGTGCATATTTGTTGTAGTAAATCTTTATATTTTTCGGCTCATTCTTTCCCACGTGCAGTGTCGGATAGAGCTAGAAAGACTAGATTGCTTGCTTTAGACGCCGCAGACCAGCTCGACAGGCTCCAGAACAAAAAGGCTCGTGGGACCATTGCCATGGCCAAGGTACTAATCCCATGCGCATTATATCTATCCTGCATTGGGCATTCTCCCTTTTGCTCCTGATGTACTAATATTTTTATCAACCCGAATAGGTTGCAGCTCCAACCATGACGCTAAGAGTGCTCGACATGGCCATGCAGGTGCATGGTGCAGTCGGTGTATCTGGGGACAGTGTATTGGCCCACCTTTGGGCCACTTCACGAACATTAAGAATTGCCGATGGTCCTGATGAGGTTCACTTGGGAACTATCGGGAAATTGGAGCTAAGAAGAGCAAAGCTTTAAACGATGATCGATTTTTCCTTTTCATTTTTAATGAATGGGTAATAATGTAGAAGAAAATTCGTTGTTTGTAATGTGCCAATGAGCTTTTGGTGAAAGTTGGAAATAAAAGAGATGAGAATTATATGTATAGACGTGCAGACTGTAATAAGGATATTGTTAGGCAGAGCATTTGTTAGCAACATAATATGCATATTTTGAAATGTCAGTCTGAAAAAAAAATATAAATAAAAATAATCATTTTATAGTATAATTAATTAAATACCGGTGAAGCAATGGAGATGATGGAGAGGGGATGGCTACACAGCAGCATCCAACCACTCCAAACTACTCTTATGCACCATAGTATTGCACATTCCTATGTAGAAAGGTAACTCCATTTTATCGAATTCTTGCGTCACAATATTGTATAAAAAAACAACATTCGGGTGCTCACCATCAACACACTTCAGGGCCAACAACTCTGAATACTTGACCCACCCAACTGGGGTTAAAAACTCCTCATGTAGGATACCTAATTCTTCGAATCTTCCCTTGTGAGCCTCCAATGAAAAATCTGCCTTCTTTCTCCATTCTCCCCTTTCCGGTCGACTCATCTCCCAAATCTCCCACGAATAATCCCCAGAACGACGCAATATCGACAGATACCTTCCAGTCGACAGGTAAATATTGTCTACATACCTAGTTCCAGCTACAGGGGGAGGGCCAGGGGTCTCTGTAAAAATTTCAGTCTCCAGATTCAGAGTCAAGACTTCGTTGGTAGGGGGATGTGTCCAATGCATGAAACCTTCAGAAATCATCAAGTGGTTCTTTCGCAATGGTGTTGTGAACTCAAATTCAACTTTCCTCCATAATTTATCAACTCCAACGTTTAATATATAACAATACCTCTTTTCGCATAATGCACTCTGAGGCCAAAATACAACCGCTTTATACTCCATGGAAGCCGGCACATACCCAATTGCATGAAATCCAACTTGAACACGCTTCACAAGTGGAGGGAGAAGAACGACTTGGCCTGTTGCCGGATTCATGGCATACAGATTATCTCTATCCCCTACCTGATTCTCTAACCACAATCCATTACAACTACTTGTGATAGGACGCTTGCGTTTGTACCTCAACCTAGAAATCTCGACTCGGGCCCCTCCTTGTGGGAGCATTAAAAATGACCCAAGAATTGTACATTTGAATAGGAGTACATAAGTGGCGTGCTGTAAGTAGAAGCGCATGAAATCACGGGTGTGAATGATATGGTACCATTTGCGGCAAACAAGCCTTGCCTCATAAATATCTTGGCCAATTGGGATGCGAGCAAGAACTTCCATCAACAATTCATCGGATAGAGAGTCTATCTCTGTTGGTCTCTTCCTTTTACACCTCCTCAAGTAGAATGTGCGGCCACCAATAATCTGCATACATATTCGAGGGATAAACAACATTGGCATATAGTGGGGAAAATATGAAACTAAAAAAATCTGCAAAAATACTTGTTAAAGTACAAATTAGTTAAAAAGAGATTATGATTATATATATGTAACCTAACCTAACCTAACCTAACCTGGTCATCTTGTGGAAGCAGGAATTTGAAGGGTGCAACCTGAGCGCTACCTTCTTCTTTGATGGCAGCCTTTGATAGTCGCGGCGGCGGTGGCTGCCGCAGCATTGACTCTGGGATCTCATGTGACCACTGAGTTCTTCTCTCAAAAATAAGCCTATACATCGATCAATGATCTGCATACAAAACTCTGATATATATATATATATATATATATATATATATATATAATTCAGAAAAAAAAAAAAAACAATCTATATTTTTTACTTTGAGGAATGGGGGGAAGGGGAGATGGAGGCTACGGAAGTAGGGTTTGAGGAGCCTGACTTCGGGGTTAGCGGGTGTATTTTGAATGTATTTAATTAGGATTTTAAAAACCTTTATGAAACTTTTTAAAATGAGAAAATTGTAAATCTTCCCTATATATAATTATCGAATACGCTGAGCTTAGGTGGCTGCTTCTAGTGTTTCGAATTCCTACTTGGCGAAAAATTATGCTTTGTAATTAAGTTTGGACAAATAATATTGATATATTAATAACTGGTACAATGCTCGTGTATTACACGGGTGCTTGCTAATTTTTTTCTTAAAATCTAAGATTAATGAGAAAAAAATAGTTGAAAATTTAAATACCTTTTATATATATATATATATATATATATATAAAGGTTTGATTATTTCTTAAATAGTAACTATTTCTCTCAAAAAAATATATATTTACTATTTCAGGAAATTAGCTTAACAATTTATGGTATCTTTCAAATAATCACTTATTAAAACTTATTTAAGGAAATGATATAAGTCATAAATTTTTTTAGGATATCTTAATTGCTCAAATCATGTGAATTTTGTTGATTTACCTATTATGGAAATTTCAGCTGCAATATCAATTATTTGATTTGGTAAAAATCTTCCAACTAAATTATGTAATTTATTTTTTGATAAGTGTTTTATATTTTTCATATAATTATTTTATGAAATGTATTTTTAATATATCTTAATTACGCAAATTGTGTAAATCTAAATAATTTATTCAATTGCAAATAATTATTAGAATTATGAAAATATCAACAAAAATAATCAATTATGCGATTTACAAAAAACTATTCTAAAAAAATTGTGTTAATGACACATTTTATTTAAATATTGTTTAATAATTGTTATTTAATTTTGTTTATTTAATTACTCAAATTGTGAATAATTAAGAAAATAATTAGACTATAAAAATTTAAAATTTTAAGATACCCTAATTACACAGTCAATAAAATTTGGTTTATTTATTCAATCATAATGTTTTATAAAATTATTCCAAAATAATTGTATTAATGACATCTTCTATTTAGTTATTTTTTAATAATTTTCTTTTGGATATTTTTTATTTTTATCTATAAAAATGCGGGCCTCGATTTTCTTTTTTACGTTAGGCAATTAATTTTGTGGTAAAATTGAATATCATTTTTTGGTATTTTAACGATAAAGTATGAAATAATATTAATTGTTATACCATATATTGATCCGATATACCCATTTATGGTAAAAAAAATGGTATCTCAATTTTTTTTATATTGTTAAGAATTTTACTCGATATAAATGAGAGCAAAATCTGGAGAATGCTATAGTTTGTAAATGCGCGTGGAACATATCAATTTATTTCATATAATATATATATATATATATATATATTTCTATTTACTTGAATCACATTGTAGTCAAATCGAATTTTTGAATAAAAAAATGAAACCTATTTCGAAATGAATATGATGTAATTTAATATTAGTTACTTGCACCGTACGGGTCGTGTATCAATTTTAAATAGACATATTTAATGTAATTATGCACAATTTATATTTCATATAACATTTTTAACAAATTAATATATGTAAGTTGTGTTACTTATTGATTCCATATTTTAAATTTAAATATTATTTAATGAACATTTTTAATTTATAAATATAAAAGAAAATTTCTTACTCGTGCATCGCACGGGATTCGTACTAGTTATTATATATTTAGTATGATACTTTTTATTTGTGCGACATACCTGTTTTATATTATAATAATTATTTTAACTTACAACATATAACTACATCTATATAAATATAAAAAGGTTTGGTATTTACTTGAAATAGTAACTAAAATCTCGCTTAAAATTTCAGAATTACTAAAATAAGTAATTTTTTTTTTTTTTGAAAAATTCAAAATATCCCGCTAGATGTGTTTTGAATTTTTTTGAAAATAAATTAAATCAAAACATTAAAGAAAACAATCACACAAATATTTTCTTGGATACATTCTATGTTTGTCTAATGAGATTTGTAATGAATGAGTAGAAATAAATTATATGTACATTTGCCTAATTAAGATTTACATTTCCTGTATATATAGCTTTCAAGTTTTTTAAATATTTTTCTTTTTGGATTTGAAATCCACTAGTGCGTAGCCCGTGCGATGCACGGGAAAACAATATTAAATAACAATATTAATGATAGGTCTCGAGTTTGCGTTACTCAATTGCGGAAGTGAAAACTAATATTTGTCCTATTTAAAAAGAGGAAGATAAAAAATAATCATATATTAAGGAGGAGGCACACAATACTTAATAAATATAAATTAAAAATTCGGGATCAAACAATGTAAAATTATCTTGTATAAGAGAATATAAAATTTGTATGTTAAATACTAAAAACACCTAAAATATTATATTAATATATGTAGAAGTATTCAAAAAAATTTATATTATTTTTTAAACATGTGAATTCACATACAACTTTTCTAAATTATTTTATATCTAAAAATATTTAAATTTGACATCTATATACATTTTTTTCTAAACTATTTCGTAAAGAAAATATGTTTACAAATATTCAAATTTAACATCAATTATATATATATATATATATATATATATATATATATATATATATATATATATTCAAATTTAAAAATGTCTAAACAATTTGTTTAGAGTATCTAAAATATTATAAACCTAATTTAATAACGATAATATGTACGTTTTTGCGTGAAGATTTAGATGATCTATCTAATAAAATTTGATTACACAAAATTTCAAAATTATTATTATTTTTTTCGTTGTTACCCTAAAAGAGAATTTGTAAAAATATTATTAATTAGACATAAACATGACCACGGGTCACCCGACACAGACAAACCCGTTGACCACGGGTCCGGGCCCGACACGGATTTCAAAGGGGTCGGTCAAGGGTCATGATTTTTCGACCTTGACTCGGCGGTCCGGACCGAGTCCGTGTCGGCACGGAAAAATACATTACTTTTGAATTTTTTCTTTCTTTTTCTTTTTTTATTTTTTATGTGGCTGGGTCCAAACTCGGGTTGGACCCGGCACGACCCTAGGTCCGTGCCGGTTCAGGGTCGTCGAAACCCAACCCAGTGGCCCGGCAGGCCGGACCGAATCGTGACCCGGCCCAGTTTTTGGCCATGTCTAATTAGACAGGTGAAAATTAGTTTTTAACAAATTTTAACGTAAATAATGAATAAATAATGAATTTATAGTAGTAATTAGACATTAATGTAAATTAATTTTTTATTTTATTTTATTTCTTTTAAATATGTTAAGATAGATAACGGATGAGATTTTTAAACTCGAGATTTATGTAGATAACGGATGAGAATTTTTAGATAAGGGATAAGATTTTTTAAATTCTAGATAATTATGCAATGTAAATATGTTAAACATTGTTATTTAAACTTACCTAGATTTATGCATAAAGATAAAATGAGATTTGGTAAACCTTATCAATTTAAAAAAGACTATCAAGAATATTAATATGGTTGCGATTTTTAATGGGTGTGGAACCAAAACTCAATATTTTAGGCTATTTATTCAATGTTGTCCAAAAACCTTTACAAAAATTTCTAAAAGTAGTATGAATTAAATGTTGTCCTAAAATCTTTGCTAACTATTTTTGGTAAATGTTAATCTTTTTATATAGATATAGATTTTGTTCGTTTTTCTTTTTCTTATTAAATACCAAAATTGTTTTTTTTTATAAGACTTAATATTAAATATTTCTTTGTTTTATATATATATATAATGTATTGTATTGATCATTTTTTTATATCTAATACATGACATCCATATTGTACATATAAAATAGTAAATAAATAATTATTGTAATTATATAAAAAATTAAACTTATAACAATCAATATTGATTCAAAAAAATAACGACAATACAAGAAATGATGAAATCCAGCAAAAATATATTCTTATAGAATTTCAATAACAATGTCAATGGATAGTCCAATGTTATTATTACTGTTGGTATGAAATATTTAAAATTAAATGATATGAATTTTATTTCGTATAGATAGAAGTGTATTTGAAAATTTTGAAAACAAAACAAGTGGTATGAATTTTATTGGTATGGGTATGAAAATTAAAGTTTAAGTTAATTTGTTATAAAAAGATGATATGACTCTCAAATTTTATTTTATTCCCATAATAACTTATCATAAGACGTTGATAATAATTCGGCAAATTGATATGTATTCTTATTGAAATTTAAAAAGATCTTTGAACAAATATTGATTAATAAAATTTAAAATTTATAATTTAATTCTACAGAAATAGTTGATAAATTTGAATGATAGAGTAAACGACAACAAATCTAGAAAATCGTGTGATAATGTATATATATATATATGTTTGAAATATATAAGAAAAGTTATTGTATATTCCAAACTTGGGTTCCAAACTTAAAAGTCAAATAAATAATTATTCATATCTTATAGATCAATATTAACTTGGACGTAAATAGAATAATCAATTGTTTATGGTTTAATAAATTACTCAACTACTTAATTTTTTTGATTTGGATAGTTTATACAAAAATAAATTCATTTTAATTAATATAACAATATAAGTTTTATAATTATATTTATTATTTATATATTTTAAAATATATGATAACTTTTTACTAAAATATTTATTTTATGGAATCATGTTATAGTCAAATTAAATTTCTGAATAAAATTTTTAAAATGACACTTATTTTGAAATGAATATATGTTATATCTATTTTGGGATTAAATATGTGTAATTGATACATTGGTCATTATGATGTTTAG